TTTGCGTTCACATCTTGCTGCTCATGGCATTGCCTTTCGTCTCTCGTGTCCCTATACTTCCCCTCAGAATGGCAAAGCCGAGCGCATTCTAGGTACTCTAAATGATTGCGTCCGCAGCATACTGCTCCATGCCGGCAAGCCTCCATCTTTGTGGGTTGAAGCCCTCTCCACCGCCACGCATCTTGTCAATCGGCGGCCTTGTCAAGCGAGTGGTTCACTGATTCCTTACCAGCTCCTGCTCGGTGCACCACCATGCTATGATCATCTCACGGTATTTGGATGCCTCTGTTACCCAAACCAAGCTTCTATTGCACCACATAAACTCAGTGCTCGATCAACAACATGTGTCCTCCTTGGCTATCCTAGTGATCATCGTGGGTACCACTGCTTCGATCCTCAATCTCGCCGGGTAATCACCTCCAGACATGTGGTGTTTGATGAAACCCACTTTCCCTTCACTCCAGCGACACAGCCATTTCTTCTCCTTCCCAAGTACTGTAGCTGGTCCGACAACAGAGGTTATCTTCCTTCCACTGCCTGTTCCGGCTGTCCAGCATCCTTAGATGCATCATCTATCTCCGCGCGCACCCTTCTGCGCGTCGCCACTTCCCCATGCCTCAGCATCTCCAGCTGCACATGCCCCTGGGTCTGCGGTGTCGCCCGGGACGACGTCTCCTACAGTGACCGCGGCGCCGGGCACTCCCTCGCCACCAGCACAGCCCGTGGCTGCTCATCCAATGCTGACGCGGGCTAAGGCAGGCATCCATAAGCGAATCGCGTTCGCCCTCGGCGCGATTCCTCGCCTCCATCATCCAGTGGTGCTGCGATCTCGCCTATCCCTTCCTCGGCTCGTGCTGCCCTTCGCGATCCAAACTGGCATGCTGCCATGGAAGCGGAATTCCGCGCTCTGCAATCCAATCGGACATGGCGTCTTGTTGATCGCCTGCCCGGAGCCCACATCATCTCGCGCAAATGGGTCATCACACACAAACTCCGTCCTGATGGGTCTCTTGATCGTTACAAGGCCCATTGGGTGGTCCGGGGATTTATGCAGCGCGCCAGTGTTGACTTCGGCAAAACCTTCATGCCCGTCGGCAAGCCAGCGACAATTCGGACAGTGCTCACTATCGCCGCCTCCCAGCAGTGGCCAACTTGGCAGCTGGATGTATCTAATGCCTTTCTTCAGGGTCGACTGCAGGAGCAAGTTCTATGCCAGCAGCCTACTGGTTTTGCCGACCCTGCTCGTCCCGGCGCTGTGTGTCTCCTCGATAAGTCTCTTTATGGACTTCGACAGGCTCCCCGGGCTTGGTTTGATCATTTTGCCAAGTTCGTGATCACCATCGGCTTCACCCCTACTCGTTCCGATTCATCGCTGTTCGTCTTTCACCGAGGCAATGATATCGCCTACCTCCTCTTGTATGTGGATGACATGGTGCTCACCGGCTCTAGTCCGGGTCTTCTTCAGCACATTGTGCAGCGCCTACGTGCCGAGTTCGCTGTCAAGGATCTCGGCGAGCTGAGTTTCTTCCTCGGCATCACCGTCAAGCATGATGCTCACGGCTTCTACTTGTCCCAGCAACGTTATGCCGAAGACATCCTCGAGCGAGCCGGCATCAACAGCTGCAAGTCGGCCACGACTCCGATTGACGTAAAGGGGAAGCTGTCCGCCGATGGTGACAAAATTAATGATGCTGCAACTTACTGAAGCTTGGCTGGGGCCTTACACTACCTGACCATTACAAGACCAGATCTTGCCTTCGCCGTTCAGCAGCTGTGCTTGCATATGCATGATCCAAGGGTGCCCCATCTTGCCCTGCTCAAAGTCTACTCCGGTATGTGCGCGGCATAACCAGCCTGGGGCTCTGTCTCAAAGCCTCGCCGCGTCTCAACATCACAGCATACTCCGACGCGGACTGGGCTGGTTGCCCGGACACTCGGCGTTCGACATCGGGCTTCTGCGTATTTTTGGGCGACGCACTGGTTTCTTGGTCATCCAAGCGATAGCCAACCGTCTTCTGTTCAAGCACGGAGGCCGAGTACCGCGCCGTCGCCAACGCTGCTGCTGAGTGCATATGGCTGCGACAACTCCTCGATGAGCTCCGCTGCGACGTCAACAAGGCTACCGTGGCCTACTGCGACAACGTCTCCGCCGTCTACATGTCGGCCAACCCGGTGCATCACAAGCGGACCAAGCACATAGAGCTAGACATCCATTTCGTTCGCGAAAGAGTTCAGCTGGGCGATCTGTGCGTCCTGCACGTGCCCACCAGAGAGCAATACGCCGACATCATGACAAAAGGGTTGCCCACCTCGACATTTGAAGTTTTCCACAACAGTCTATGCATCGTGCCAACCTCGTCGTGACGACCCTCAGACTGCGGGGGGGTGTTGTAACCTACAGTTTTGTGTGAGTTAGTTAGCTGGTCATAGAGGCGCGCCCACAACGTCGCCCACGACCATGAGTCCGCGCCTCTAGCGTGTCATATTGTAACGCATATATATTTCACAGATGAGGCAATATAATCTCTGTTGGCTCCTATTCCTATATTCTCTACATGGATGACATGCGAGTGGCGCAGGGCAACTGCTCTCCTCTTTAGGTGCTGGTGATGCGGCGTGGTTGGCCGTGGCTACACAGCTCCGTGGCCCGGTGACGCCATCTCCTGCGTGTCCACCCTGTGCCCGACACAGCGACACACACTCCCATTTGCAAGGATGCCTCGTGCTTGATCTGCCAAGCTTTGGAGCCCTAAGCCCCTAAGCACATAGACAGACTGTATCTTCTCTCGCTTAGCTTGATTTACAGCCAGGAGCTAGAATTACACATATCAATGAATTGGAAGAAGAGTAGAAGAAGGGATGCGACGGGGCAGAAAAACACAAAAGTCGTGAACTGGAGACCTCTAGAGCCGAGAGCCAGAATTATATACTACCTACGAATCGGAAGAACAATAGACAGAAAGGATGCGATGGGACAGGAAACGGAGAGGTCGCACTGCTTGTTGCCAGACACAGGTGCATGTGCATCTAATACGCATGGCTTAGCCACTACCAGCAATATATTAATTAATTAATTAATAATTGCCTTGCTACAGTGGTGCTCATGGCTTGCTTGACGCTGATGCATCTAATGCCACTATCAGCAATATATTAATAAGTGTCTTACTGCAGTGCTGCCGCTGCCCATGAGGTAATATAACTGATGAAAGAAGGATAGAAGCAGGCTCTAGCTGACGTGGCTTCACGAAATCATAGGAAAATCTGGTAGTGGGTTCCTCCTATTTAGGTATAGTAGATGCGGATGACACCATACTTTTTATGGAACATGATTTTCGAACAAGCAAAAAACATGAAGCTTTTATTCTGAATCAGTTACTCAAGTACGTGGATAAAAAGCCAGGCGACTCACAATTCCGGAGAGGACTAATGAATGTCAAAAATCAATTCGTATATTTTGGGAATTTTCAGATTGCAAAATGGCATGCAAATTAGGTTCTGGGAGGACATTTGGTTAGGCTCATCCACTTTAAGAGAGGAATATCCTAACCTATATAATATTGTTAGGAGGAAGAATGATACAACCTTTGATATCCTAAGCACTCCACCTCTAAACATCTTTCGGAGATCGCTAGTAGACCAAAATCAAAATGATTGGAACAGTTTAGTGGTACGAATTGTGGATGTCCATTTAAATGATCAACATGATGTTTTTAGATGGTCACTAAATACAAGTGGACAATTCTCGGTTAGATCCATGTACAACGCAATGATAGATGTAGACATCATGCCTCATAACATATTCCTATGAAAAATTAAAATTCCTTTAAAGGTAAAGGGTTTCCTTTGGTTTCTGTATAGAGGAGTAACACTGGCCAAAGACAACTTGGCTAAAAGAAATTGGCATGGAAGTGAAAAGTATTGCTTTTTAATGTCTTAGAGACTATACAACATCTTTTCTTTGATTGTGTGCATGCTAAGCTTGTCTGGCGTCTAATAGAGATAACTTTCGGTCTAAAACCAACCCTAAGTGCTGCTAATATGTTTAGTACCTGGCTATAGAATTTAACGACACACAATATTTATCTAGTTCTTGTGGGACAGGTGCCATGTGTTGGGCCATATGGTTAAGCCGGAACGATGTTGTTTCTGACAAAACACCAATTTGTTCTTTAATGCTGGTCATTTACAGGGTACACAATGGACCAGGCTGTGGTCTGTTCCAAAAGGAAGAGGGGCGGAACTTCCTGCGAAATGCATACAGTCTTTTGGAAAACTTAACAATGGAAATCTTCGCCAGGCATGGTTGGAGGTTTATAGCGATAGGTTAAGTCTATGACAAACTTTTTGTTTTATCTCAGCCATTTTGTCTGGCGTTTGGGCTTGCTTACTTGCGAGAGCGAGATGGAGTCTATCCTAGAGTACCTTCTGTAATAATTTTGGTCACATACATTAATTGTATGGTTGGGACCGTTTCATTTGCTTAATGAAATAAACTCCCTTTATCTAAAACAGGTTTGTACATAGTATTTAGTATGGTAAGATTCTAGTAGCTACTATTCGAATCAGGATCATGTGAATCAAACCTTGGCTTCATACGGGCATATATGTATCCCATAATTCTCATGAATACGGCCGGGGACATGCATTGTGGCGACCGGCAAGAGCGGCGAGTTCTAACAGCAAAACAAAAACTTCCTGATGAAACGAGGCATACGCGTGCGTTCCTACTATTTACCTGTGACTGGGTGCCAAATGAAGCAGCGTTGACGTTTTGCGTGGCGTCAGGAAGTTTTTTTATGTTTATATATACACGTGTCGTAGTCAGGAACGTGGCGCTCTCGATCGGCCGGCCGCACCCGGCCGTACGTCTATATATATACACGTGTCGTAGAGGTATCTGAATATCTACGACGACGTATTACGTCGACGACTGTCTCACACTGAGCTCATCAGCTAGAGCTAGCTAGTGACAGTAGCTCGTCGAGCAGCCAGCCGGCAAGATGAGCGGACCGATCCCCGGGAAGTCGTCGTGGCCGGAGCTGATGTGCGTGCCGGCGACGCAGGCGGCGACGACCATCGCCCAGGAGAGGCCCGACGTGGTGGAGGTGCTCCCGCCGGGGTCGCCCACCGTCCCGGACTACAACCCCAAGCGCGTCCGCGTCTTCATCAACAACTACGGCGTTTTCATCCATATCCCCGTCATCGGACAGTCAACACCCCGGCTGGTTTAATTTATCTGTCTGGAGTCATGCATATGTGTCGTCGCCGTCGTCTGTTCATCACGGTGTGCCATGATCGAGCTGTGTGTGTGGTGTGATGGAATAAACTCCTGCTGATGTTGCCTGTTTAATTATGTGTCCTCGCTCTCAGCGTGAGGATTACTACTACGTACCGGCAACAGCCACTGTGTGGGAACTGAACAACTACTTAGTGGCGTTCGATCTTAGTAGAGAACTGAGCTGTAGTCTGGTTCTCAACTCCTTTAATTCCGGTTTTAGAACCGGGACTATGCAATCGGGACTAAAGGTCTTGATTTTTAGTCCCGGTTCCTCCAACCGGGAGTAGAGGTGTTTATTGGGCAAAAAAAAAGTTGTAGCTGTGGAGATTCGAACCTACAACCTCTCACTTCAGCTCTTGCATGCGTTACCATCTCACCTATCACCACACATCTAACTTAGATAAGATACGCTTTCATTTTAAATTCAGTTTGGAGACACCTTTAGTTCGGGTTTGAGACATAAACCGGGACTAAAGGTACCTTTAGTCCAGGTTCGTGTCTCAAATCGGGATTAAAAGTCACACTTTTAGTCCGGGTTCATGTCTCAAACCGGGACTAAAGATTCTCGCACTGATGTGCCTCTAACACACCTCAGTAACCGTTGGGCAGGGACCTCTAGTCCTAGTTGGAGCTACCAACCGGGACTAAAGGTTTCTCTAGTACCGGGACTAAAGCCAAATTTCGAAGTGGATCAAAAGACGTTTCTCTACTTTCAAGAGTTTCCATCAGAACAACCAAAGTCTCATGACACGTGGGATCTCTAGCTAGTGCTGAACTGTCACACATCTTCCGCGAGAGGGATTTGAGGGTACGCGCGCGAGAGAGATTTGAGGGTAGAATTGAGGGATTATGGGTGGATTAGAGAGGGACGGCTACCCTAGGGCAGGAAGCACCTTATAGAGAGAGAAAGAGCGGTGACAACAACATATGTTGCCGCCGTCCTAGCGTATGGTGGGCGGCGTGGCCGCTGCACTTTGAGAGAGGACAGGGAGAGGTGTTTAGGGTGTCTCATAATCAAACATATCCAGTAAACTCATAATCTGTAGTCCGAAACCAGAAAACATGAAAACTTCATTAACCTCCAGCCATACGCAATATTCTCCAATGGTAAAAGTATAAGAAGTTTTATCTGATTTTTATTGAAACTAGCATCATATACATATATTTCTGTCTGAGGGAGTATCTTAGTATTTGGTTTAAAACAGCATCCATATTTACTCTCAGGATCTACAATGAATTGCAAAAAATGAGAGGAAATTACCCATGGCCGCCACTACGAATGTAAAAAGTTGACTTCTAACCGAGATTACCTCTATACATGCTTCTCTATTACTAGGATCAACAGGCGCGCTCCCCTGCGCTGGCCACTGTGCAGGGTTCGTGAACAGTGTTTTTAGGCAGTAGCAAGCAATGCTTGGAAACAGTATTGAAAACGGTGCTGGAACAAATAAAGTTTAAAACCGTGTGTGAAAACAATGCTTAAATAGTAGCCATTGTCTGCCGGCAACAGAGGCGGCAACGACGAGCGCCCACGACAGGCCAGACGTATGTGTCCGTGGAAGTGCTCCCGCTGCGTCAGTGGCGGACCTAGGATTTTACCATATGGTATGCCATGACCCACCAGTGATACCCTGTGGGTCTGCCCCTTCCCTGCGCGGGTCCGCGTCTTAATCGATAACAACGGTATTGTCGTCGTGGTCCCCCGTCATCGGTTTGGAGTCATGTGTCGTCATCGTCGTCTGCTCATTACCGCATGCCTGCACCGGTGCCGTGAGCCCGCGATCGAGCTGTACGTGTGCGTGTGTGTCGTGTAATAATGGAATAAATACCTGTCGTGTAATAATGGAGCTGTTTTTGGAAATGTAATAATGCACATAAAAAAGGTAAATAATCTAGATTCAGGTGTTGTTGAATTTTGAAAAGTCCTGAAAACATCTGCAAGGTAGGCTAAAAACATATATAAGATAGAATTAGTGCATTGATAATCATTCAGGAGATTCTTTCCCGCTGCACTTAGTTTCTACCCTTGAATATTTTGGGTCAGAGTGAAAAAGAGAGATAAGAATCTTTAATTTGGCTTATGTTGATGCATTCCCACCGCAAAAAATGAGGCCATATATGTTGCATAATACACTACTAGAGAACAGACTTTAGAACGATGTCCCAATTTGGCATTAGCCTCGGCATTTTTTGCTGCCGGGACTAAAGGACCCTTTAGTCCCGGTTCGTAATACCAACCGGGACTAAAGGTCCCTGCCCAACGGTCGTCCGAGTGGCAGGGATATTTAGCCAGGGCTAAAGGTTTTAGTCCCGGTTTGGGTGATATCCCGGGAATAAATATTAATCTTTAGTCCCGGTTTGGCCACCTAACCGGGACTAATTATGCGGGCCTATACAACGGCTCATTTCTTCCTCCCCGAGCCCGAGCCATTCCATTTAAACTCACTGCCTCTGTTCTTCAGCTTGCTGTTGTTCTTGCTCTCTCCCCCTCCATTAGTGTTGCTCTTCGATTTTGGAGGTAACAAACTTAATCCTCTTATGTTTTATCAGTAGCTTATCTCATTTTGCGATGTAGATGCATGTGTAACTTTATATGTTGAACTTTATTATGATTTTATATGTCATTTTTAGCTCAAAATCACATGATGATTTGCATATATGTTTGGATAAACAAAAGTTAAATTAGTTCATCAAAATCACGCCTCGCTTTCGTCTCTCATTTGGAGCACGCGCCATCCTCGTCCCCGTGACTTACGTGATCTTAGAATTAATTTTTCCATGAAATGAAAAACTTAGAAAATAGTTAGAAAATTGTAGAAAATCCGTACTAGTTGAACTTGCGGACCGTGATCATCTCGGTGAGCATTTTCTCTGCCGAGCGGTAACGGACGTCAAAGAGGAGCTTTGATTCTACGAGGGAGAGCGGCAACGGTCGTGGAAGACCGTGTTCCCTTTCTCGTAGAATCGAAGCTCTTCCTTGGCCAAGCACGGTGCCGTCGGTGGAGAAATGCTCGCCGAGATGATCACGTAAGCAAGGTCAACTAGTACGGATGGTTATTTATTGAAACATGTTTTTGAGCTATAATTTGATGGATATTTGAAAATATGAAATTTACACTAGTTTGCAAAAATAAGTATAGAAAGTAGATGACAACTGTTACTGGATCCTCGGCCTCTCGTTCGGTTGCGAAACGACTGAGGCCAGAACTCCCTCTCATTATCTGCGGCAAGTGTAAGCAGAAGATTGTGATGGAGTACCGAGTCAAGAGACAGGGACCCAACAAGGGTCGTGTTTTCTACAAGTGCCCGGATCGCGATGTGAGTTTCTTACGCATTTTATAATTATGGCTAATTGACCTGTTTTTCTTGAATATTTTTGACTAAATATTTTTTGGCTTTAATTTCAGTGGGAGGGCAATGGATGCGATGGTTGGTACTGGGAGGAAGATTATGCTACATACGTGTAGAATTTGGGTGCGCTTGAGGTAGCGGCTGCTGCTGATGAGGCAGTGAGCCAGCAGGAGAAGCTTATTGATATTCAACAGAAGAATGATTTGTCTGTTTTAGTTGCGTACGATCACAAAATAATTATGTTACTGAAGTGCATTGTAGTTTTAGTTTGTTTAGTGATAGTTGGGATTGCTTACGTTGTAGCCAGGCTTAGTTAATTAATCAACCGTGTGTGTGTCATTTATGTTGTGTAATAAAATACTTAATTATGTTCAAGGTTTTCATAATTTGTCGTGTAATACAGATTATGTCACGCCATTGGATGTACAATGCCGATCGCCGCTCCCAAGACTTTATAGAGGAATTGCACTATTTCTTAGGTGTGGCCGAGGCAAATAAGCGGGATGGTTTCATATGCTGTCCATGTGCCCTATGTAAGAATTTAAAGGAATATTCAAGCTCAATGAGTCTTCATTCACATTTGCTTAAGTCAGGTTTCATGTCAAACTATATATGTTGGACTAAGCATGGAGAAAGCGGGGTCATGATGGAAGAAGGTGAAGGAGAAGATTTAGACATTGATGACATTATTGCTCAGTATGGTGCCTTTGATGATACTACAATGGGGGGAGATGAAGAAGAGGTAGCGGTAGAAGATGATCTCGGTGATGCTCTTGGCGATGCCATTCGTGATGCACAACAAGAATGGGAAAGTGAAAAAGAGAAAGTTAAGTTGGAGCGCATGCTTGAGGATCATAGGAAGTTGCTATACCCGACGGCCGAAGAGGGGCAAAAAAAGCTGGGTACAACACTGGAATTGCTACAGTGGAAGGCAAAGAATGGTGTATCCGATAAGGCATTTGGGAATTTATTAAACCTTATAAAGAAGATGCTTCCGAAGCCAAATGAATTGCCCACCACTACGCATTTGAGCAAAAAAGGTTTATCGCCCTTTGGGATTAAAAATCCGGAAGATACATGCATGTCCTAATGATCTGTATCCTCTACCATGGCAATGAATACGAGAATTTGGATGAATGCCCGGTATGTAAAGCATCGCGGTATAAGATCAGGCGCGATGATCCCGGTGACATCGAGGGTGAACAACGTCCTAGAAAGAAAATCCCTGCCAAGGTTATGTGGTATGCTCCTATAATACCACGCTTAAAACGTTTGTTCAGAAATAAAGACCACGCAAAGTTGTTGCGGTGGTATAAAGAAGACCGTAAGGTAGACAATATGCTGAGACACCCAGCTGATGGGTCCCAGTGGAGAGCGATAGACAGAGAATTTTCAGAGTTTGCAAATGAGGCTAGAAACTTAAGGTTCGCCTTAAGTACAGATGGTATGAATCCTTTTGGACAGCAGAGCACTAGTCATAGCACTTGGCCAGTTACTCTATGTATCTACAACCTTCCTCCATGGTTATGCATGAAGCGGAAGTTCATTATGATGCCGATCCTCATCCAAGGTCCGAGGCAACCTGGCAACGATATTGATGTA